GAAATCTTTCCCAGTGCCAGTTACCTTTCATTTTTGCCTCCCCACATCTTTAACTCTTCACAGGACTCACACTTTTTCCTTGCCCTTCCTACTTTCCTCTGTCCTCCCTTCCTTTCACCAACTCCACTTCTTCCTTTTTCTGTTCCTCCATTCTGGTTGGCCATCGTGTTATAAGACAGGATGCATTCCTATGGGACAACTGGCCACAACCCCAAGCCCCAAGTATGTGTCTTGTATATGTTCACAATCCATCAGTCTGGGAAAGCCTTTTTTTTTTTTAATTAAAAAATTCTAATTTTTTTTTTAAATGTAGGGTCCACACCCAATATGGGGCTTGAACTCATGACTCTATCAAGAGTCCCATGTTCTACCAATTGAGCTAGCCAGCAACCCTAGGGAAGGCTTTTCTTTTAAATGGGAGAAAAAAAAAAAAAAAAGAGTCCCCAGCAACATGCATTTGTGGAGAGGAGGCTGGATCATTCAAATTCACAACTGTGAAGTTTACTCTCCTCTGTATATATTTTAGTCAAGGATCTTAACTAGAAGTTGTACCAAGACAAAACAAAGCGTGTATAAATCCATGGTAATCCCCTGACATAACTAGGGCTGACACAATATTCTAATTGTGTACAAATTGGGAGAAGAAATGGATCTAATCTAGCCTAATGTTTCAACTAGTAAAACTAAAGGATAGCTATGAAGAATGGAACAGTCTGTTCTTTGCCCATGGGTAGCTAGACAGAGCCACCAGGATTAATAAATTTATGAAGAGCTCAGCCAGTGTTATTATGCCGAAATTCAGACTGGGAGAGGTAGACTTGCCTATTCCAATACCTTTAGATGAAACCTCACACACTGCAGAGACTCATTAAAAACCTCCAAAACTTTTTATTTTTTTTTAAGATTTCTATTTATTTATTTATTTATTTATTTGACAGAGAGAGATCACAAGCAGGCAGAGAGGCAGGCAGAGAGAGAGGAGGAAGCAGGCTCCCTGCTGAGCAGAGAGCCCGATGCGGGGCTCGATCCCAGGACCCTGAGATCATAACCTGAGCCGAAGGCAGTGGCTTAACCCACTGAGCCACCCAGGCGCCCCATTTTTATTTTTTTTAAGATTTCATTTATTCATTTGACAGACAGAAATCACAAGTAGGCAGAGAGGCAGGCAGAGAGAGGGGAGAGGCAGGCTCCCTACCAAGCAGAGAGCCCGATGTGGGGCTCGATCCCAGGACCCCAGGATCATGACCCGAACCGAAGGCAGAGGCTATAACCCACTGAGCCACCCAGGCGCCCCAACTGCTTTTAACAGTATAGACTAATCCTTATTTTGACACGTAAAGGATTTGTTCATCATCCCTGAAGTCACAGTGCCAAGCCTAATGCTGTTACCTATCTAAAAGTCAAAAGAATTGATACCCTAAGGCTGCATCCAGCACAGACCAATAAGGATTGGGATGATTATACACTCTTACACACGATTTGCTTTTTAAAAGCTTGTTTCGAGTCTCACCTTGCAGCTTTGGAAACTAGGTGTAACTGGCCATATTTATTATGTTGTGATAAGGACTGTTGTTCTAAGTCCTACATTACCTTCATAACAACTAAGGGGATAGGTACACATAGTTCTCACACAAATAAGCAAACTGAGGGACAGGAAAGCTAGGTAATTTGTCCAAGGTCACACAGCAAGTAACTGCTGCAGGACAAAGGAAGAATAGGACAACACCAGCAGGGAGGAGCGAGCAGTTCCTGTAGCAGCCACTAGAAATCTTGGGGGGATGCCTATACTGGGTTGCAGTCCCCCCCATAAAATCACAGTTATGTTTCCATGCTTTTCTCTAACTGCAAGGTGATATTATTTTAACAGTGCTTTCTAAAAACTGTCCAAGTTACTTGGGCATTTTTCTTTATGAAAACTGTTCCCATTAAAAGACATGTGAACAAAATGAAACGCAGGAGGAGGGATGACACAGCCCTCCACCTAAGTCATTTGTCCTTTCACAGAAGAGAAGTTACACAGTTAGTGGAGAACCACAAGCTTCCAGGAGACTGGGTCTGAATCCTGATTCCTCCAGCTGAGCCTTCAGAAATGTGCAGATGAGGTATTTCCTATCACAGTGATGAAGCAGGGAAGACAGTTCTGGGTGAGGAAGTCTTAAACAACCTCAACTCAAAAAGGTCCCCAGAGCCACGACTGGAGAACTCCTTCTTCTTCTGCTCGTACAGAATGAGCAGACACACACACAAACACACACACACACACACCACCACCACCACCACCATTCTGGTCATTATAGATACTTTCAGTATTTCATATGAAGCATTCTATATCAATTAAAAGTACTTAAAATACTCTTAAAATATATTTTATTAACACCAGACAGAGCAATCCCATCTTACCCAACCCATGAATTTAGTGACAGTTAACCCAGAATGGGAGTACAGAACCTAATACTCCAACAGACCAAGATTCCAATCCTATTTAATCACGTGCCACTGTGTGACGGGGGACCAGTCAACCTACCACATTTTCTTACATGTTAAATGAAGATGAGAAATGATTACATGTCAATGGAATGTTATAAGGATTAAATGATAATTTTATATATGTGTGTGTATACAGTTTAACTTTTACTAGAAATACTAGTAGCCTTCAATTTATTTCCAAAACTACAAGGCATATATGAAAAAACTAACACCTGTTCTTTCTGGAAGATGGATATACATACGTTTATAGTTTTCTATATTTCTTTAAATTTTTCAAAATACAGAGAAATTAAAATATTGATCTTATCTACTTTTAATACAGAATCACATACATAAAGGAATCCCTGTGTGCAACTATCAGCAGGATCACAGGCTTTCCCAACAGAACTTCTGGAACAACTGTTTATAGTAGAAGGCAGACTGCAGAAGTAAGCATCTCAGGTCAGAGTTGTACCAGACCTCCGATGTCTAATCTAAACCTTTAATTTTCCAAACTAGAATCTGGCCTAAGTGGTTCTTAAAGTTATATCCAGCTGGTTAATCCCAAGTGGTATTTAAGTACCACATTTGAGAAATGGTTTTCTTGTTATTTTATTTCTAAATCCAATTTTCTGACACAATTTTACAATGGAAATTCATGCTATTTGATTTTGTTCATTCAGCTGTACACTTTTGTTTTGTCAGAACCCCAGCAACCTTCCCATCTTCATAATCTAAGTACACTGACTTCCAAGAACAAAGAAGTTTCAATTTTAGCATACATAAAACTGAGTTAAGTTGCTCAAGAGAGTCTTTACCATCTGGTGTAAAACCAAAAGGTATGAAAACTATAAACTATTACCTTTTGTAGTAAGTATCTAGGGCACATGGAAAATTAAGAATTTCTTCAATTTGAAGAAATGAATCAATGTTATAATAGAAAAATTATTTTAAGATGTATCTTCGGAAAATGATTCAGACTTGTATATACCTTTTTTTTTTTTTTAAAAAGGTTTTATTTATTTATTTAACAGACAGAGATCACAGTAGGCAGAGAGGCAAGCAGAGAGAGAGGAGGAAGCAGGCTCCCTGCTGAACAGAGAGCCTGATGCGGGGCTTGATCCCAGGATCCTGGGATCATGACCTGAGCCGAAGGCAGAGGCTTTAACCCACTGAGCCACCCAGGCAGCCCCTCAGACTTGTATATAAAGAATTACATACTTAAATGTCTGAATTGTATACTAATGATTATTTAAAGTTTATTCTTCAAATATTTTCACAAAAACAATTCTAAACTGAGGGGATAATCACAACCAAATGGGTTCGCTATATGCCCACTACTATCAGCTAATTTCACTTCACTAATAAAAATTTAAATTTAAAAAACAAGTGGTGAACCGAGGGTACCACCTGAAGTAATTTCGTGTTTTGTGGGATTGCATTCTATTTCCAGAAAAATCATCCTTCTGATAGCCAAGATTGGGAAAGTGAGCAACCAGCACAGCACCCAAAATAGTTTAAAACATGAACAGATAAAACTGAGTATGATTTTCTGAACCTTAATAGCACTAATGATGTCAAACAAGTGTATGAAAGAGAGACAACACCAGGTTTAATACCTTAGAAAGTATGTACAGAACCTGAACATTGTTCAATTCAAGTCACAACTGAATCAGCAACGTCATCAGATACTCTGATATAATGAAAAAGCCTAGTTGGTTTAAAAAAAAAAACAACAACAAACAATGCATGTAAACCATAAAAGATTACAAAGTATTTTAGAATACACAACAGAATTCTAACCAGGAGCTTTAAATTTTGATTCTTAAAAGGTGAATCTATATACAATCTTTAAGTTTCCATAATTTGTTATTTTTACATGATCTTTATTATCTGGATAACATAAAATAATAAAAGCTCTTTTAACACCATTGATATGCAGAAAAAAATCAATAGGGAGGTTGTAGTTAGCTAACATAGTTAGTTAACATACGAAAGGCCAGGGACTTTTATTCATGGACTCAAGTCACAAAACAGACTTAACCAAAACTGCAAGCCAGGAAACAAGCACTTTTACTTCAGACACTTCACTGCAGGGACAGAATTTCCTTACCTGAGAAGGAATGGTTATAAATAACAGTTCTGAAGGCAGAACTCCAGGAGGAATGGACGAGATAGCCTATGGGAACTAATGAGCGCACTTACGTATTAAGAGAAGACTGTGCAAGTTCACAGCACACGTCACCGTGGGACCTTCCTTCAGGGTTTAAAATCCTCAACCTGTAGTCAGTCAGTCCTTAATACAGCAGCCGAAGTTTAAAGCCTAGAATCCTTAAATGGAGTGTTCAGCCCAGTTGATTATCAAAAGCTAGTTATAAAATGCTTTAATACTGATGATATTAAAGCTACCAAAACTTTGTAATGATCAAAAAGACTTGGTCTCCTGGGTTAGAATCCAAAGTCATTTTGCCTTCTGACAACATTGCAGAGATGTCAAATACTTCTTAATCTCTCAATTGTATGCCATTTGTCTTCTATGTTTTCTGTCTGTCATAATCTCCCACCATCTTCTTGATGTGTGACAATTTGCTCTTCAGCTGCTTGCAATAATTCCTCTTATTTTTGTAATCTGCAGACTAAAAAAGAAAAAAATAAACCAGGTAAATTTAACAGAATAAAAACAAGTTGTGTTAGCTGCTAGGAAGGCAGAGGTGAAGCAAAATAATCATGGAATATTAGTCAAAATTGTTGGGAGTGAGGAATGGAGTAAGACATACAGGCTTATGGCAGTTTCTCTGATCATACAGGCGGTTGATTCTTTTTGCTCAATTGTACCTTTTAACCTGAGTTTTACAAAGCATATGCTAATTTCTAGTGATTTGTAAAGTGACCCCCAAAATTAACTGGACTTTTTGCTAACACATCATCTAAAAAAATCATTAAAACAAGGGTGCTTGGCTGGTTCAACTGGTAGAGCATGTGATTCTTGGTCTTGGGGTTGTGGGGTCAAGCACCACACTGAGTGTAGAGAGAACTTAAAAACAATTTTTTAAAAGATTTTATTTATTTATTTGAGAGAGAGCAAGTGTGTGCTCACACGCACACCAGGAGGGGGAGAGGCAGAGGGAGAAACAGGTTCCCAGCAGAGCAGGGAGCCCAATGTAGGGCTCGATCCCAGGACCTAGAGATCATAACCTAAGCCGAAGGCAGACGCTTAACCATCTGAGCCACCCAGGCACCCCAAAAATAAAAATTTTTTTTTCAAAGATTTGACAGAGAGAGAAAGAAAGTGGGCACACAAATGGGGAGCTATAGGCAGAGGGAAAGGGAGAAGTAGGCTTCCTGCTGAGCAGGGAGCCCAATGTGGGGCTCCATCCCAGGACCCTGGGATCATGGCCTGAGCTAAAGGCAGATGCTTTATCAGCTGAGCCACCCAGGGACTCCCAAAAAGATTTATCTGACACACAGAGAAAGAGAATGCAAGTGAGCATGAATGGGGGGGAGGGGCAGAGGGAGAGGGAGAAGAAGACTCTCTGCTTAGCAGACAGCCCAATGCCAGACTCAATGCCAGGACCCTGGGAATATGACCTGAACTGAGGGCAGACAACTTAATCAACTGAGCCCCCAGGAGCCTCCCAAAAAACAAAATCTTTAAAAAACAATTGGTCAAACAAAAACTGGTGATATTGGTTGACTTGGGAAAGGAGAAATAGGTAAATGGGGAGTAAGACAGGGAATTTTACTATATACTCTTTCCTTTCCTTTTTTTAAAATTAAAAAAAAATTTTTTAAGTAATCTCTACAACCAACATGGGGCTTGAACTCAAAACCCCAAGAACAAAGATGCCCCACTACATACTCTTTTAAATTCTTGCATTTAAAATTATGGTGTTTTGTGATTTTTAAAAAAATTTAATATCTATTAAAAACAAAGTTTTAAACCTAGACAGACCGATAAAGCCAAGTGTTGACAAGGATATGGAGCAAAAGGAATCTACACAGCTCGCTGGGATTATACTGGCAAACCAGGAAAGCTGTTGACACCATTTACCCAAGGTCAGAGAGATACTTGCCCAATGACCCTGAAATTTCACTCCCAAGCACACATCTAACAAATGTGTTCACATGTGCACAGACACTTACAAAAATGTTTCAAGCTGCATTAATTATAAAAGCCATAAGCTGGGAACAACCCAAACCCAACCAAGGCCCATATCAGACTCTACGCTCAGCACAGAGCCTGCTTTTCCCTCTGATCTTCAGTGCTTGTGCTTTCACTCTTGCTCAAATAAATAAATAAATAAATAAAATCTTTTTTTTTTTTTTAAAGATTTTATTTATTTATTTGACAGAGAGAGATCACAAGCAGGCAGAGAGGTAGGTAGAGAGAGAGGAGGAAGCAGGCTCCCTGCTGAGCAGAGAGCCTGATGCGGGGCTCGAACCCAGGACCCTGAGATCATGACCCGAGCCGAAGTCAGCGGCTTAACCCACTGAGCCACCCAGGCGCCCCAATAAATAATATCTTTTAAAAAAGAAATCACATCTAAAATATACATACTACATGATTCCATGCACATTAAGTCCAAATAGGCTAAACTCCTCTATGTTGGTAGAAGATAGGATGGTAGTTATCTCTGGGGAGAAGGAAAACTGGAGGAGAGCATAAGAGGGTTTGCCAGGGAAATGTATACACTGGGAAATGTATTTCTTCATCTGGGTGCCAGCTACAAAGGTATATGGTCGCTTGGTGAAAATTTACCACATCGTACACTCATGATGTGTGGTTTCTGTATATATATACTTCAAGTTTTTAAAAAAAGCTTATCAGAATTGGTTGTAGCTGCAAACAACTGAAATTAAGTTCTACCTTCTGTTACAGTTTTCAGCTTGTGGTCTTAGGGCCTTTTGTCATAATCAGTGCTTATGTGATAAGGTGTTCATAGTCATTTCAAAAGGTTAAGTAAAAGACATAATAGAAAAATTCTTCCTCGAAGGATCTTACAATCTGGGATACTTACTCCCTTAACTTGCTTCAGTCTATTGTACTCATCAGCGGCAGCCTGTCAATGAGAAACACAATAGAGGATGGTTAGTGGGGCATTTTCTCTTTCAAAAATAACAGTCCCGATGTTCTATTTTGGAGCTAAAACTGACACCAATGCCAAAATGACAGGCAATTAAAATAATGAAGACTTTAGTTCTGACAACTATCATAGTCAGCAAGGGGGCCTTAAGGCAGCCAGTAAAGAGAAATGCATGACTTATTCCTCACGTTTCATTTTCATAGGCAGGTTAACTATTTTGTTTAGCTGCCTCTCATCTGTCCCCATGTGGTCCGTGTGCCACGCTGACACCAGAGAGCTCTTCACTAAAGCATAGCTTTCACCTGGTTACAGCCCATTATGAAACTGGTCTGAGTTCCCTAGTAACTAACTGAAATACATATGTATTATGTATATATGTAAGTGTACAAACATATACCCACACTAATATATATATTTGTGATGTATATATTACAGATACAAGTTAATATATTATATACTATACATATATAAAATATTTTGAGCAATAAACTAGTGTTGGATTATAACGCAAAGCATAAAACAGATATCCATTCAAACTAGTATTGGATTATAACGCAAAGCATAAAACAGATATCCATTTATGTCAGTACTGACATAAACTTATGTCAATACTGATATAAATGATTAAAATAAATAAATGCAAGGAAGTGACCAATTTCTTATGCACAAGAATTCCAAATAATTTGTGTAGGTGCACTGTCTTTAAAGAGCTAAAGCATAATTTCCCATTCCTGAAGGGTGATGTAGGCATAGTGACTTCCTTGTAAAGAGTACAGTATAGAAAGGGGGATTAAAAAGGAAAGAGTAGGGGCACCTGGGTGGCTCAGTGGGTTAGGCCTCTGCCTTCAGCTCAGGTCATGATCCCAGTGTCCTGGGATCGAGCCCCGCATCGGGCTCTCTGCTCCGCAGGGAGCCTGCCTCCACCTCTCTCTCTCTGCCTGCCTCTCTGCCTACTTGTGATCTCTGTCTGTCAAATAAATAAATAAAATCTTAAAAATAAATAAATAAATAAAAATAAAAAGGAAAGAGTAACTTTCATAGACAAACATTATCTCAGCCAAGGGGGAAAAAAACCACCACCACCATAAACTACTGCTGAGTAAAATAATTAAGAAGGATGTAGTAAAACACAAGATAACTTCATATCAAAGATGGTGTGTGTCTAGGTGCACTTGTGCACGAAGGGGCTATTTTAACAACCAATATTTTGGTGACAACCAACTGACAGAATTTAAGGCAGTTTATTTTTCTGTACCCAATTCTGTTTGCTTAATATTTTATATAAAGAATGAACTGTGTTTATAAATAGAAAAATATAGCTTTTTTTTTAATAGAAAGGGATACATGTACATAGACTAATTTTTGTACTTTGTAACTACATTAGTACACTCTTCATTTTGGAAAGACTTTCATCCAAGACAGGATTTCAGTTGTTTTTCAAGGAAATCAATTTGAGAACTGCTAGCAAAATCTGAGTCTGCATTAGTAGAAAGGATACTCTATCTTCATAGATTAGAATAACATCATCTATAATATGTAATTATCAGGTCTGAATTTACCATGTACTCTTCACTTTCTTCTCTATAGTCATCCAATTCTTTATCCAGACGAGAGAGTTCTTTATTGACCTCATCGAGTTCTGCTTGTAAGCTCTTATATTCCTGCAGGCCAGTGTCAAAATTTCTCTTGTACTGTTGTCTTTGTTGATCTGAAGTAATAGGTGGATATTCCCTAAAAATTGAGAAAATGACTATGACTCTAGCAGACATAAACTCCAGTATTTCTTCATCAAAGATAATGAAGCTGGTGGGATATGGAAAATTACAATCTCCTGCTTTCGTTTTGTTGCTTATAGAAAGAGAAAGGTGGGATGCAAATGAGTTCTCTTAAGAAGATTATACTTCAGGGGCACCTGGGTGGCTCAGTCAGATGAGGATCAGACTCTTGATTTCAGCTTAGGTCATAAAACCAATCATCTTTGGGCTCCATGCTCAGCATGGCGGCTGCTTAAGATTCTCGCCCACTCTCTCCCCTCTCTCAAAAAAAAAAAAAAAGAATGATTATACTTTATATATCACTGCTTATGCTTTTAAAAATACTATGCTTGAAAATATATATATACTATGCTTGGGGGGAGTGCAGTGCCTGGGTGTCCGTGAGTTGAGTGGCTGACTCTTGGTTTTTGCTCAGGTCATGACTTTAGGGTCCTGGGATCAAGCCTAGTGTTGGCTCCACTTCAGTGGGGAGCCTGCTTGAGATTACTTCTCTCCCTCTCCCTCAGTTTGTGCATGGTCTCTAAAATAAATACATCTTTTAAAAATAAAATACTGTGCTTATATAATTTTTAGAAATAAAATTAAAGGGGCGCCTGGGTGGCTCAGTGGGTTAAAGCCTCTGCCTTCGGCTCAGGTCATGATCCTATGGTCCTAGGATCGAGCCCCGCATCGGGGGGGGGGGGGTCTCTGCTCAGCAGGGAACCTGCTTCTTCTTCTCTCTCTCTGCTTGTCTCTCTGCCCACTTGTGATCTCTGTCTATCAAATAAATAAATAAATAGAAATCTTAAAAAAAAAAAGAAAGAAAATTAAAAATCATTTATGAACTTTAAGGTTCAAGTCATAGGAACTCATTTATTCTAAATATACAACACCACACAATTATAGAATATTTCTGTTTAAAGTCTTAAAACTGGAATTTTGGAACATAAAGTATGTTTTCGTCATCACAGTGGCAGAGCAGGTGACAGCCAGGTAGTTGTTTTCTGCTACCAACTACAGTTTTTAGATTGTCTTTTTATTTTTTTTAAAGATTTTTAAAATTTATTTATTTGACAGACAGAGATCACAAGTAGGCAGAGAGGCAAGCAGAGAGAGAGGAGGAAGCAGGCTCCCTGCTGAGCAGAGAGCCCAATGTGGGGCTCAATCCCAGGACCCGGGGATCATGACCGGAGCCGAAGGCAGAGGCTTTAACCCACTGAGCCACCCAGGTGCCCCTAGATTGTCTTTTTAAATTGATCTTGTTTTCCTAAACAGGAATAGCTTATTTGGAGTCCTTTGATTACAGAAGTAGACTTTAAAATGTACATGTACAAAAATACATGCTCAGCATACAAATAATGCAGCAATGCACAAAACTGGAAAAAAAAAAGCCCTGAAATTCTGCATCACTTGTAATTCTCAATATACTAGCCATTTTTTATGTGTCACTGCGATGCTCATTAACTAACAATCCACTGAGGAAATACTCTGAATTATTTCACAGGACTAAGGAACTTCACAACAACAGGGAATTTCCATTTTTACATCAAAATTGGCCTAACATCTTCATTTTACAAAGATGAGAAATGAAATGATTTGCTCAAAAGAGGAGTAAGAATTGAGGCTTCTTGGGGCGCCTGGGTGGCTCAGTGGGTTAAGCCACTGCCTTCGGCTCAGGTCACGATCTCAGGGTCCTGGGATCGAGCCCCACATCGGGCTCTCTGCTCAGCAGGGAGCCTGCTTCCTCCTCTCTCTCTGCCTGCCTCTCTGCCTGCTTGTGATCTCCCTGTCAAATAAATAAATAAAATCTTTAAAAAAAAAAAAAAAAAAAGAATTGAGGCTTCTTAAAAGTTTTAATTTAGGGATGCCTGGGTGGCTCAGTTGGTTAAGCAGCTGCCTTCGGCTCAGGTCATGATCCCAGCATCCTGGAATCGAGTCCCACATCGGGCTCCTTGCTTGTCAGGGAACCTGCTTCTCACTCTGCCTCTGCCTGCCATTCTGTCTGCCTGTGCTCGCTCTCTCCCTCTCTCTCTCTGACAAATAAAAAACTTAAAAAAAAAAAATCTTTAAAAAAAAAAAATCTTTAAAAGTTTTAATTTAGGGGCACCTGGGTGGCTCAGTGGGTTAAAGCCTCTGCCTTCAGCTCAGGTCATGATCCCCGGGTCCTGGGATCGAGCCCCGCACTGGGCTCTGCTCTGCGGGGAGCCTGCTTCCCCCTCTCTCTTTCTCTGCCTAATTGTGATCTCTGTCTGTCAAATAAATAAAATCTTAAAAAAAAAAAAAGTTTTCATTTAAATCTTCCATGGTTCTTGTTAAAAATATATTTTATAGCTAGATGGCTGAACTTGGCCAAGGACTTCTATTTTCGAAGATTTATTCATCTGAGAGACAGAGAGCGAGCGAGCATGCAGGGGAGGGGGAGAGGGAGAGAATCTCAAGTAAATTCCCCACTGGAAATGTGGCTCGATCTCATCACCTGAGCCAAAACCGAGGTTAACCTACTGAGCTACTCGGGCGTCCCTGGCCAAGAACTCTTGTGGAGAAAGGGGAATGAGGAATGAGAATCACCAGTGAGATTTCATACTCTACTATACCACTCATCCCTCCTTTCACCCTGAGAAGCAATGTTTTGATGCACCAAGATTCACACTGCAGATGTTTCTGATTTGTACCCCACTTCTCAGAATCCCTGAGCATCAAAGGGCCACACACCACCCACAAGTGGAGTTGGTAATGATGCACTGTAACTCAACCACCAGCACACACAGGAACTTAACCACATCTGCGCCAGAACACGCATTGTTCACTGTTTACGTAACTGTTTGCCAAAGTCCTCCGGATTAAACTTTTTTTTTTTTTTGACAGACAGAGATCACAAGTAGGCAGAGAGGCAGGCAGAGAGGGAGGGGAAAGCAGGGTCCCCGCTGAGCAGAGAGCCCGATGCGGGGCTCGATCCCAGGACCCTGAGATCGTGACCAGAGCCGAAGGCAGAGGCCCAACCCACTGAGCCACCCAGAGGATTAAACTTTTAAAAGACTCTCTTGTCTCATCATGAAATCTTAACTTAAAAGTGAATGCCAGGGGCGCCCGAACACTGGTGGGGTTCATCAGTCACCTCGTGAAAGATGCTCAACATGTTTTTAGGACACAGTCACAGCCAAACAGACCCCTCCCCATCCACCTTTGTTATCAAAGAGTACTAGGGGGGAAAAAAGCCTCCAGTCCTGGCTGTTCAAGGATGAAATCACACCACCTAAGCCCAGCTGAGCCGGCAAGCACTCCCCCAGCCGTCTGGCCCAGGCTAACATCAGAACCGGCATAGGCGGTTCCCGCACGATGCCATCCACTACCTGATCCAGTCCTCCTCCAGCTCATCACACGACTCTCCGCCAGTCGTGTAGTCTGTTTCATAGTGGTCCTGCTCCGGCCGCTTGGACCTGCCTGCTCTTCCTTTCGTGGGGGCCCTTCTGGAAGGCGTCTCGAAGTTGCTGCTGCTGCTGTAGCGAGGCTGCCTGAAGTCATCCATGGGCGAGGTCACCGGCAGCTCCTGCACCACTTCCGGCACCCTAACGAAACAGCAAGCAGTGTTCAGGGATGGCGGGGTCCACTACAGCCCGTGGCCAGCAAGAGCACCATAACCACAGAGAGCCACAACAGTACACACTAAGAGACATCCACACCTATGTGCGTTCGCACAAGCAATTCACGTACTCCGCATGACGGAGATCCCCAGGCTCCTGCATTCAGGTTAGCACCAGCTCAGACAGACCCTCTGGAACACACCAGAGGCTTTCAGGTTCCAATGTAAGAGGAGGCCCTCTGGAAATCCTTCTGAGTAAAATGGACCCAAGACTGCACTTTAGGAAGCCCAGGCTGCTGTGGGAGAGGTGTTTCCTGGACCTGTGCCAGGGACTTACTCCACAAAAGGCGGTCAAGAAAATAACACTCAGGATTCTTTTCCACAGGTTCGTGGAATTCCGAGAGTTGAAGAGAAATGCACGTACCTATCTACCTTTGGAAGATGACTCTCAGAGGTAAGTATTTTTTATTTAAAGATTTTATTTATTTATTTGACAGAGATAGGCAGAGAGGCAGACAGAGAAGGAAGCAGGCTCCCTGCTGATCAGAGAGCCCGATGAGGGGCTGGATCCCAGGACCCTGGGATCATGACCTGAGCCAAAGGCAGAGGCTTTAACCCACTGAGCAACCCAGGGACCCCAGAGGTAAGCATTTTTAATATTAATTCTAGACTCCTATACAGCAGTTTTCTTGTCAAGATACAATCTAGAAAAACTAAAGTACTAAAAATTTAAACTGCTATGTTCATCTTATAGCCATGTAGACTGAATGGCATGGAAGCATTACAATTATTAGACTTATTTTCCTAATGCAATTATTTAATATTGCATTAGATTTTTAATTGCAAATGTTTCTGTGCCAAGCATGAAAACGAGGCCAAACACAGAAGTAACTAGCAAGAGCTATGGCAATGGTTAAGTACATGTGAGTGACAGCGATGCCGAGCTTAACTCTCCCTGGCAGCAGAGCTGCAGACGGGCAAGAAGAGTGCTGAAAGGAAGACAAAAGACAGGCCAGAGACTTTCAAGCCTCAGCCTTGATATTCAAACCAACTATTAAAAACGTCTTAAGATTTTTGTTTTCTCACTGCTTTCAATTTACAGAAGCTCTCATCTTGAGCTTTGTGTGTGAAGTATAATCTATTTTCTAGGGGATCCAGAACTGCTTGCCACTAACTGTTGTCAAAGTCCAGATTTCTATCACACTTACTGATGTCTTGTAGAAGCCTAAAGCGTTGGGATGTGTATGCACAGTTGCGGAGGTTAAGTGGGATTTATGCCTACTATTGAATGTATTCAGGTTACACTGGCTTTGTATGCTTTGTTATTGCTACATCTAAAGAAGGGAAAATGTGACTTTCTCCATGAGTCAATGAGTAACAAGTTCCTAGACACTCTGCCAAAATTGCCAGTATTATGCTTCTTGCTCTGGGAACGCAGTAGGTGTATTTGAGGGAGTAGTGACTAGAGGAGGAGGAAGCCAAACAGCAAAAGAAATTAGAAAAGAACAAAACCCAAAACATTAAAACAGGCCTCCTCCCATAATTACATTAGATATTGATCTTATAAATCTTTACTTTGTTGGGCTCCTCTGCCCCTTCCCCTTGCTTGTACTCTCCCTCCCTCTCTCTCAAATAAATAAATACAATCTTTTAAAATAAATAAATAAATAAATAAATAAATAGCTCTTTACTTTGGAAGTTTTCCACCTCCCACTCTCCTACATACTTTCAACACCAGAGGGTAACATACTTGATACAGCATAAAACCTAAACGCAAAATGCTTACAAGTATATATACATTTAAGAGCTAGGGAATATGGGGGCGCCCGGGTGGCTCAGTGGGAGCAGGCTCCCTGCTGAGCAGAGAGCCCGATGCGGGGCTCGATCCCAGGACCCTGAGATCATAACCTGAGCCGAAGGCAGTGGCTTAACCCACTGAGCCACCCAGGCGCCCCATTTTTATTTTTTTTAAGATTTCATTTATTCATTTGACAGACAGAAATCACAAGTAGGCAGAGAGGCAGGCAGAGAGAGGGGAGAGGCAGGCTCCCTACCAAGCAGAGAGCCCGATGTGGGGCTCGATCCCAGGACCCCAGGATCATGACCCGAACCGAAGGCAGAGGCTATAACCCACTGAGCCACCCAGGCGCCCCAACTGCTTTTAACAGTATAGACTAATCCTTATTTTGACACGTAAAGGATTTGTTCATCATCCCTGAAGTCACAGTGCCAAGCCTAATGCTGTTACCTATCTAAAAGTCAAAAGAATTGATACCCTAAGGCTGCATCCAGCACAGACCAATAAGGATTGGGATGATTATACACTCTTACACACGATTTGCTTTTTAAAAGCTTGTTTCGAGTCTCACCTTGCAGCTTTGGAAACTAGGTGTAACTGGCCATATTTATTATGTTGTGATAAGGACTGTTGTTCTAAGTCCTACATTACCTTCATAACAACTAAGGGGATAGGTACACATAGTTCTCACACAAATAAGCAAACTGAGGGACAGGAAAGCTAGGTAATTTGTCCAAGGTCACACAGCAAGTAACTGCTGCAGGACAAAGGAAGAATAGGACAACACCAGCAGGGAGGAGCGAGCAGTTCCTGTAGCAGCCACTAGAAATCTTGGGGGGATGCCTATACTGGGTTGCAGTCCCCCCCATAAAATCACAGTTATGTTTCCATGCTTTTCTCTAACTGCAAGGTGATATTATTTTAACAGTGCTTTCTAAAAACTGTCCAAGTTACTTGGGCATTTTTCTTTATGAAAACTGTTCCCATTAAAAGACATGTGAACAAAATGAAACGCAGGAGGAGGGATGACACAGCCCTCCACCTAAGTCATTTGTCCTTTCACAGAAGAGAAGTTACACAGTTAGTGGAGAACCACAAGCTTCCAGGAGACTGGGTCTGAATCCTGATTCCTCCAGCTGAGCCTTCAGAAATGTGCAGATGAGGTATTTCCTATCACAGTGATGAAGCAGGGAAGACAGTTCTGGGTGAGGAAGTCTTAAACAACCTCAACTCAAAAAGGTCCCCAGAGCCACGACTGGAGAACTCCTTCTTCTTCTGCTCGTACAGAATGAGCAGACACACACACAAACACACACACACACACACCACCACCACCACCACCATTCTGGTCATTATAGATACTTTCAGTATTTCATATGAAGCATTCTATATCAATTAAAAGTACTTAAAATACTCTTAAAATATATTTTATTAACACCAGACAGAGCAATCCCATCTTACCCAACCCATGAATTTAGTGACAGTTAACCCAGAATGGGAGTACAGAACCTAATACTCCAACAGACCAAGATTCCAATCCTATTTAATCACGTGCCACTGTGTGACGGGGGACCAGTCAACCTACCACATTTTCTTACATGTTAAATGAAGATGAGAAATGATTACATGTCAATGGAATGTTATAAGGATTAAATGATAATTTTATATATGTGTGTGTATACAGTTTAACTTTTACTAGAAATACTAGTAGCCTTCAATTTATTTCCAAAACTACAAGGCATATATGAAAAAACTAACACCTGTTCTTTCTGGAAGATGGATATACATACGTTTATAGTTTTCTATATTTCTTTAAATTTTTCAAAATACAGAGAAATTAAAATATTGATCTTATCTACTTTTAATACAGAATCACATACATAAAGGAATCCCTGTGTGCAACTATCAGCAGGATCACAGGCTTTCCCAACAGAACTTCTGGAACAACTGTTTATAGTAGAAGGCAGACTGCAGAAGTAAGCATCTCAGGTCAGAGTTGTACCAGACCTCCGATGTCTAATCTAAACCTTTAATTTTCCAAACTAGAATCTGGCCTAAGTGGTTCTTAAAGTTATATCCAGCTGGTTAATCCCAAGTGGTATTTAAGTACCACATTTGAGAAATGGTTTTCTTGTTATTTTATTTCTAAATCCAATTTTCTGACACAATTTTACAATGGAAATTCATGCTATTTGATTTTGTTCATTCAGCTGTACACTTTTGTTTTGTCAGAACCCCAGCAACCTTCCCATCTTCATAATCTAAGTACACTGACTTCCAAGAACAAAGAAGTTTCAATTTTAGCATACATAAAACTGAGTTAAGTTGCTCAAGAGAGTCTTTACCATCTGGTGTAAAACCAAAAGGTATGAAAACTATAAACTATTACCTTTTGTAGTAAGTATCTAGGGCACATGGAAAATTAAGAATTTCTTCAATTTGAAGAAATGAATCAATGTTATAATAGAAAAATTATTTTAAGATGTATCTTCGGAAAATGATTCAGACTTGTATATACCTTTTTTTTTTTTTTAAAAAGGTTTTATTTATTTATTTAACAGACAGAGATCACAGTAGGCAGAGAGGCAAGCAGAGAGAGAGGAGGAAGCAGGCTCCCTGCTGAACAGAGAGCCTGATGCGGGGCTTGATCCCAGGATCCTGGGATCATGACCTGAGCCGAAGGCAGAGGCTTTAACCCACTGAGCCACCCAGGCAGCCCCTCAGACTTGTATATAAAGAATTACATACTTAAATGTCTGAATTGTATACTAATGATTATTTAAAGTTTATTCTTCAAATATTTTCACAAAAACAATTCTAAACTGAGGGGATAATCACAACCAAATGGGTTCGCTATATGCCCACTACTATCAGCTAATTTCACTTCACTAATAAAAATTTAAATTTAAAAAACAAGTGGTGAACCGAGGGTACCACCTGAAGTAATTTCGTGTTTTGTGGGATTGCATTCTATTTCCAGAAAAATCATCCTTCTGATAGCCAAGATTGGGAAAGTGAGCAACCAGCACAGCACCCAAAATAGTTTAAAACATGAACAGATAAAACTGAGTATGATTTTCTGAACCTTAATAGCACTAATGATGTCAAACAAGTGTATGAAAGAGAGACAACACCAGGTTTAATACCTTAGAAAGTATGTACAGAACCTGAACATTGTTCAATTCAAGTCACAACTGAATCAGCAACGTCATCAGATACTCTGATATAATGAAAAAGCCTAGTTGGTTTAAAAAAAAAAACAACAACAAACAATGCATGTAAACCATAAAAGATTACAAAGTATTTTAGAATACACAACAGAATTCTAACCAGGAGCTTTAAATTTTGATTCTTAAAAGGTGAAT